AATAATAATAATAATAATAGTATTCATAATCATAACGTTAGCATACCCGCTAGCCTCTCAGCCCTACAGCGTATATTTCCGTGAAAAACTTGGCAATCAGTGGAGCATAATTTGTACAACAATTTCCGTCGTGGCCACCATCAGCTAAGCAGGGAATTGGATTGGACTGAACGGATGCCAAACTAAAGCTGGTTCCACTACCAAAGCCGTAGCCGGACACACGGATGGGCTACGGGCTTGGAACGGCTCGTTTACTGTCTGCCTGCAAAACTGTGGTCAGAAGTCGCAAGTGCGTTGAACTTCAGCGATGCGTAAATGTTTTCTCCGCCTTGGATTCTTTCTCTGTGTATGTGTGTGTGTGTGTTTATTCTCTTTTTGTGATTTTTGGCTGTAGTTTTGCGTTTTGCGCCGTAGGATATTTGGCTTCCCATGGACAGCGCAAGAATAACTTTACTTTGGCTCTGTGGCTGATTAGTACAATTTCAATTTTCGCGCGGACATATTTGTGCATAGCCAGGGGTTCAGTTTATGGTCTTGTCAGACCCCGTACAAAGGTCACTTTTGGTTTGATTGAGCAATATTTCTTTGTTTCCTTGGGGTGATTTTGCAGGAAATTTATGTGTAGCTGGCGTTCCTTCACAATGTTGCCCCGTCATTCATTTTTCAAATATTTCTTCCTCATCTTTTTTTGTTTGCCTTTTCTTTTAGTTTTCTTTTTCTCTGTTTTTTTTTTATTTTTTATTTTTATGATGAGCAACCTAACAAGCAGCCATACCACCAGCTGTGTTTCCAATAGCATATTTATAAACGTTAGGTATACGGTGTATGGTATAAATACATTCATATTTATTATGCGAGTCATTTCTTAGTGTCAGATTGAACGCTGAGCGTGCCTCTTTTCAAAGCTTAAAGATATATTCTTAAAGGCTATACTCTAAAGGCTACTGATTAGAAAGACTGCGTGGGTTTAGCTTCTATAACCTATTGGTCCGAAGTTCGATTATTTAAAAAGCAGCAAAAATCCTCTGTTTTTCTCATGTTTTGAATATATTTTAAATTTACTTATTTATTTTTTTAATGTTAATCAGAGCTCAATGACCTATACCTTAGTCTTTTAAATTTAAATTATATTAATTTTTTATGTGTGTCAGCGTTATCCTCAGAGAGACCTTAGAAGTATTCATTTGAATATTTATAATGCCCACGTTTGTAAATCTCGGCCATGTATTTAATCGTCTTTTATAATTTCAGTTTGAATTATTTATATTTGATTTCCCAGGTGCATTTTATGCTCTTACACACACGTGCTCTTCTTTGAAATCATAAGCTTATTCAATCACTTGGTACAGAAAATATTTTCCTCTCACACTCCCTCTCCCTCTCCATCACCCTCTTTCTCACGCTCTTCCTGTGGTTTGTGCTTTCATTCAATTGGAGAATGTGATTTATTATATATACCGTTTTTTAATCGAAAATAAAATGCAAGCTGTGCGCTTTTCAGCCAGCAGCAGGAAGACGTGCGCCCGCAAGTAAAGTGGAACAAAAATGAAAAACAACTCATAATGTAATGAAATCTTAACGTATTATGGTCTGATTGCTACCTTGGTGCAGCATTGTTTGGATGCCCTATGTTCCCTCCCACCTTGTGTGTATTCGTGTTGGTGTTTGCATTTTTGCGGCGAATGCTGCACGTAGCATTCGAAAAGAAAAGCGAAAACGTGAAAAACCAGAAAACACTTTCATCTTCTGGCTGGGCTGGACTGGACTGGTCTGGGCTGGGCTGCATCAAAAAGCAATTCGTCCAATTGCATTTGCAGCTTAAATCTGTTGCGGGCTTCACGAATAAGTTAGTGCTGAACTCACCTGTAGTTGGATTGTGTCGATTGAGATTGCGTGGCAGTGTCATGCAGTCGGTAGTGGCGCCACCAGGGCTGGAAGTGAGGAGGACATTGCCGCGGCTATCCACCAGGGCGGTGCCGCCGCCTGCCAAATTTAAGGCGGCTGTGTTGTTGCGTGCATAATTCAGAGCTCCGGAATGATGCAATTGGCTTGCCTTGGGCAAAGTCATTAGGCCGGGATTGTAGCTAACGCTGCTGCCTGACACAACAACAGAGGCGCCACCACCGACACCGACACCCACCGCTGTGCCAGTCACATTGCTGCTGTTGCCAGCCGCACCGCCAGCACCACCGCCTGAGCCGCTGCCGCGTCCAAAGGTTTGGGTGCCCCCACCACCACCCATGCTCTTGATTTGCATATGCTCGCGCTGTTGTTGCTGTTGCTGCTGCTGCTGGTGTTGCTGTTGCTGTTTGGTGCTGGTGCTGTAGGTGACATTGGCCAAGTTATCCGAGGGCTTAGCGCCATCCATGGCCATATTATTCAGCATGCTTCCACTGCCGCCTGCCTGTTGTGCTTGCTGTTGTTGTTGTTGTTGTTGTTGCTGCTGCTGTTGTGTTTGCAAGCCCGTGTTGGCGCATATATGTGGCGGCGGTGGCTTGGATGCCTCGTTGGCTGCTGCGGCGGCAGCGGCGGCTGCCTGCAGCAGCATGGCGGCCTGGCCACTCTGATCCTGACCATGGCTCTCGACATCCACAATCACATTGGCGCTCTGCGAGTGGCCCATGTGATAGTGGGCATGCTTGATGGGCTCCGGCGGATATGGTACCTGCTGATGCATGCTGCGCTGTTGATACTGCTTCTGCAGCGTCTTCACCTCCAGCCGCGTCTTGTCGCGCTGGTAGTACACGCCCGCAAATATCAGCACATTCAATATGAGCAGGCTGCATCCGATGGCAATCGTTACGCTCAGCGCCGTCGAATACGCCGCATACCCGGCTGCCTCGAAGCCGGATGCCACGGTCTCCGTTGAGGCGTTCGCAAGTGTTGTCGGTGCATATACGCCGCCTCCACTGCCCGTGTAGTTGCCGCCAATTGGTATACACGTTGTATACATATTGTTCGGTTCAACGGTCGTAACTATAGTAAGAGAGAGAGACAGGAAGAGAGAAAAGAGAGAGAGAGAAAGAAGTCATGAGTAATTGCGTACCATTGTTGCATATTAATATGTTGCTGTTGTTGCTTCTTGTTTGTCGCATGCAGAGAGACAATTACAAATTAGCCACCCAGTGGCTCGCATCGTATGCGCAATCTAGTTCCCTTGGCTTAATAAGCATACGACGCGTACGCCTGTCTCCAGCAAATGTGAATCAAGACGCATTGCACGCATCATGCGCCTCTTCATATTCAAATTTGATGCCTTACAATGTTATTTGAGATTATTAGCCTGAAAACCAAAAGCTAGAGCTATATATGTATATACTAGCTGGCCCGGCAAACGTTGCATTGCCCTCTATATTATTTCTAGGTAAAAAATTGTTGAAAGCTATGTTGTTCAGGCTGGGATACACTGATAAATTTATTAATCGGATTTTCATTCAAGCACCTTGTTGTAAACGACATTCTTCGTTTTTTGGTCGGGTGCAAGAACAAATAATGCGGATCGTTTGCCAACACGTGAGCATGCCACGTACAATTGACCATGAGAAAAACACGCATTTTCTAGATTGAGGCCACAAATAGTCAAAGATTGGCCCTGTGACTTGTTGATCGTCATGGCGAAGGCAAGACGAAGCGGGAATTGAATTCGTTTAAATTCAAAGGGCATATCTGTTGAGCTCATCGGAATCCTAGGAATAAGAACTTCCTCATCTTTAAATTTTCCTTTGAGTATCAACGCGTGAATCACATTGCTCATCAGTTTTCTTATCACCAAACGCGTTCCATTGCACAGTTTTGGTTGGTTTAAATTTCTAAGCATGCAAATCATGGAGAATTGCTCTTTTCATAGCTGTGTTCATTTCTTGACGCCGGTCAAGTTGTTCTTCCATATTGCCCATGAAGTATATTTGCAAGAATTTTTGCTGTGCATCTTCAATAGGTTGCAATGATCCAATGCGATGGCAAATCTGGCCTTGAATCTTTAAATTCAAAGCCATAGTTATAGTTATATTTACAAACACTATTTACAGAAATCTAACAAACTACATTATTCAAAATTTTTTTTTGGCAGTCATAGAAAANTTTTTTATTTTTGTGCGCTGTTTCTCTGATTGTATATTTTAAAATTAGAATATTTAATTAATCTTCCTTCTCTCTCAGACCAGAACGATTCACTCTGCGCAGCCTAATTTTCCATCGTGCTCTCACTCAGTAACACCTATGACTACGTGCAGCTACTGTTAAAATTGTTTTTCTTACAGAATAAGACTCTGCATTATCTGTATCACCTGTATCATGCCAGAAATGAGTCACGCAAGCTCACTCGTATTCTATAGAAAATTAAATTCACATACCAATGCTACTCGCTTCACCAGCAGCTTGTTCCTGGTTATCTAAAGTCGAACCTCTTGACAAATTTTTAGTGTTTGTAGGCTGCTGCCAAATTTATTTACAAATATTTGAGCCCCACTCTTTCTTGATTAAAAAATTTTAATTAAATTGAAGCTGGCTTTCAATCAAGCAACTATTCTTTATTCTGTTACCCAAAAAATACTAAGAAAAAAATGTCGATTTTTGCAAAGGCATATTTGAATATTCACACGTATACTATATATATTTTCCCATCAGATATCTGCAGCAACATCATACTATTTTTCGTCAAGTAAATATTTGATTTGCAGTTTTCTTGTATTCCGAAAAAAACTCTTAGATCTGCTTCAGCTGGCAATACGTTTGTATTTCTTTTATGTCAGGCTGGCAGGTAAGTTTTAAATTGAAATGCAAACACCTGCGAAAAAGTGATGTGCTTCACTGCTTTTGAAGTTCACTTCCTTCAAAATGTGTTTCACAATGTGCTCGAGTCTTCGAGTATTGTTTTGTTATTGTTGTCGCTTTGTTTGTTGTTTTCCTCTTGCTTTGTGTCTGACTGTCTCGTTGATGTGCCTCAAGTGCTATCTACACTTGGCATTGTTTTAAGCCAAGACTATATACACTCTCTGATGCATGTGCCTGTCTTCGTGTGTGTGTGTGTGTGTGTGTGTATTGAGTGTCGATGTCGTCTGTCTCAAAAGTTTTGCCTTTCAATTTTGTGCATATCAAACAATTCGGCAAAGTTCTGCACGAGATTAAAGACTTGGGCACGTATTTGCATAAATATTTAGACAATAAAACAAAGTGCCATAATAAGCATTCTCATATTGTTGCCCTCTTTTCCAATATTTCGTGTGATTCTCCACAGCTGCCAAGTGGCAACTGACTGTCGAGAGCTTTTCAATTTGCATTTCACAATGCCATTCAATTTGGCAAGTTTTTGTTGTCGACTCGTCGCCAAATCAACTAATCCGATTTTCGAATCAATCAACAGAAGTCAGTATCTGTGCTATGGGAACATTATAAAGTTTATTTATTTTTCACACCTTTTTTTGACTCACTCATATTTTTGTTATTAATAATTGAAATCATTGAAGTTGTATTTCCTGGAATTCAATTTCAGCCGAAGGTGAATAAGCAAGTCGTTTACTATTTATAGCCTGACATTTGCCCCTAGGGCATTGAGTATTTACAATTTATGATTAGGTCATTCTTGGAATATAAAATTGAATCATGAAATTATTGAAGAACATAAAAGAGCGTACACAGCCGGCTTGGTTGGCCCATTTTAGGGAAAAATAACTAAAAAACAGCTAGGTATTTTTGGCTAAAGTTCATTATTTATTATTTTTATTTATCTTAACAGCTCAGTACAGTTATTTGAACTACGATAGTTCTTAATTAGTTCTATAAGTATATATTATATATATAAATTATATTTATATATCTCATATGTAGTAATTTTCTTATTTTTGCCAACAGTATTTCTAACCCTAACTTGTCTATGCACAGCGTCAATGGCCATTTGTGGACACTCAACCTGTCACTTGACAGACTTAAGGAGCAAACACTTTCGGCCCCAGCATCAGTTCGTTTGCAGTTTCATGGCTAAATGGCCTAATCAGATAGCTTGCGACCCCAGCTAGAAACACATACATAAAAAAAAAAAAAGTCGAGCTATCGTAATTTGTTAGAGCATTTCTAAATGGACCTTAACTAAGCTTTTTATCAAAACGCCTCATTTTGCATTAATTTTCAAGTTGAAATACGCTCCTTTTGCCATGGGTAAATGTTCTATTTTAATTCCTTTTAATTTTAATTTTAATTTTAGCTTTCGTTTTATGGCAAGCACCGAGCGCTCGAGTTAAAGTCACAGTACAGAGGACAACAGCCGCCGCCCGCCTGCTCTCTCAAGGACCCTAGATAATTATGTACGAGGACACACGGCCGGCGCAGCTTGAGTCAGATAACCAAAAGCCCGAAGCCCCAAACAGAGATTGCCTTGGCCTGGTGCAGAAACAGAACCAGTGCCAGAGCCGGAGCCAGTGCCTAATGCCTAATGTGCCTTTAATTAGTGGAATGACAAAAAACCAACCATAAAATCAACTTAGGCTGCAAGTGGCCCGCCCCAGCTGCTGCCCCAGCCCTGGCAAGTGAAATGCTCGGCATGCAAAATGTTCGCAATGCTGCGTAGCCTCAATTAGATGACCTTGCTTCAATTAAATATCTGCCCGGGCAGCTGAGGCGAGCGACTGTCGTTCCCCCTGAGAAAGGGGCGGAAATATCTAAACATTTAAGAAGCGATTACCTCAAGAAACGAGCAACCAGCTCCGAGGCGTTATTTCAATTTGTGCCGACTTAATCTAGCTTAGAGTTTGACATTTCATCACCGAGCGCCACCTGAAAGTTGGCTAAGCCTTGACCTATCAGCCCGGGCCGTATGCAAATGTCAAACTGAACAACCAGCGGCATTTCGTGTGTTGTTCTTGCTTTTTTTTCCAGCTTAGCTGCTCTTGGGCACTACAAACTTTTTGTGATATTCTGCTGCTATCTTATATATTTTCATTTTCTCATCTGTATAAAGCAGGGACCGCAAATAAGTGTTACGCATTTAAAAAAATTGAGGCTCAAAAGTATTCCCAAAAAGAGAGAGGAAAACACACATAAGGATATTTTTTTATGGCGAGTTCAAAAAAAGGATAAACTTTTATTGGTAATTTTTTATAAAAAAATTATTTTTAATTATTAAAATTGATTTTTATGATAAAAATCAAAAATAATTATTACAAAACAATTTTATATAAAAATCAAATCATAAGTCTTATATTTGATTTTTATTATAAAAATCAAAAATAAAACTTATGATTTGATTTTTATTTTAAAAATTGAAAATAAAAATTGAATTGATATATCTCTTGAAGTAAAGGAGCTAGATCATATATCGGCATATATATATGATCTACGCATTATTACCTTTCAGATGATATATAATATGTATGTAAATATGTACATGTATNTATCAAAAAATAATAATTATTTTTTAATTTTTTCCTATAAAAGTTATAATCGTTACGGTCCCTGGTATAAAGTTTAAATAGTAGATTAAAAGGAAATTAAAGTAGTTTCAAGTATGAGAATACATATTTAAAGGCAATCTTGAATCAATCAATATAAGGGGCATTTGAAATAGGCTTAGGGAAATCTTTTCGTATTTTATCCTATTCAAGCACATTTCTAGTACAAGTTGTCGATTTTAAGCTGCAATAGAAAACATTCTTTTACAATGGATTTTCCTGAAAATCCATCACACATGCGTAGAAATGTGTGCGTCTATCTGAAGGCACGTAATGCACAATTGAAAGAGATTATTTTTTAAGACATGCCCACGTGAACAACTTGAATAGCACAAAGATAACAATGACAAAGACAACAATGTTCCTAGTAGACTACTAGGCAAAGTGTTTAAGCGAGCAAGGCTCGACTAGCAGATACTCTATAGTCAACGATGAGCTGTCATTGAACAATAATGAAATCAAGAAGTGAATATCTTGAAGTTTTGCTAGTAATTTATTAAATTGTATATAGATTATATACCACCAACATTCATATATTGTTATTTAGCAACAGCATCTAAGACTGCTAAAGACCGAGCGTGCGTGTGGGTAGACCCTTATAAATCCTATGACAGAAGAAACTTCTCTTCTTCTATAATAAATTCGAGTTTTACGACTTGTATTCTTAGACAAACAATTATCGTTGCCATTATCAATTTAAATATATTTTAGGCACTACACATTTACTTAATTGATTGTATTGTATTTTATTTCTTAACGACAGCAAATCACTATCCACTATCCCCAATAATACTATCTATGATAGAGTCATTGAAAGCTAATTTTTAAGAGCTGTTGACAAGCTATGCAGAGTTTCTGATTTGTTAGAGTTATGAGCGCTGGCTTAGCACGATTGCGCCGCTCCGCCCAGAGAACCAACAAGAATGCAAGGATACGAGAGAAAAACGAGACTGCAAACTCATTGCAAATATAAAATCTCTTACAAGACCCACTGCTCTTAATCAGAATGTTCAAGATAATAACAAATTAATCGCATAAATATTTTCTTTCATTTTAAATTCTCTTATTTTCTACGTTACAGTCGCAAATGTTTGTTGTCTTCAAAGAGTGTATAGCATACCATGTGCTTATCGCAAAACTTTTTTTATGGCCCATACTAAAAGTAGGAGGAGAAAAATGTGCAGCGCGTCAGTTCAACACATTTTTCATGCTTTCGCCACCGACTTCAACTTCAGCTGTTGAACTGTTTTTGCAGTCTTTCGTTTTGTTTACCGAGACTTTTCTTTGTGGATATTTTGGCCTTTAGTTGCATGTTGGCTGCGCGTGTTTTTATTTTCATATCGTTTTTGCATTTTCGCATCAACTTTAGCTCGCTTGCGTTTGTCTCTGGGCCAAAGTCACGATGCTGAGGTGCCAACAACAACAAAAGCAACAACTACAACAACAACCACAACAACAGCAATGATAACGGCAGAGACAGTGACAAACCAAGGCGCACAGTTGGCACAGTCAGCGTAAATGAAAATCATATCATAGTGTGTCGCCATGATACTGTTGCTATTGCTATCTCTCTCTGTCTCTGTCACTGGCTCTTTCACTGCCGTGTTCTGTGGCCTAGCCTGGCTTTTAGCCCAGCCGCCAGGCGCTGCGTCCTGCACTGTCAAGCTGACAGCTGTTTGTCGCATTTCAGGCATTTCAGTCATTTTATCATCTTTTGCTGCTGCGTTCGCAAAGAGTTTGCCTCAACCCTCTCAATGCTTTTTCGTGAGTTTATTTTGATGGGGCGGATTTAGTTTTGCAGCCTTTCGTCCTCCCGCACTAATTGAAAAGAACATTTTGTGTATTCAGACTGCTGGAACACCCTACTCGCACCCTCCTCGCACTCACCCAACCACAAGTCCTTTTGGGCGTGCCTCTGCTGTTTGTTCTCTCTAGATATTTTGTCTCTATGCCGATGTGGTTGCTGCTTTGCCTTCAAGATACAATTATAAGTTTTTCCGTTTAGCTCAAATTTAAGTCAGGCCTTGAACCCAGCTCGTTTCTTATTTAGAAAGACCTTAAAACGCAGCTTTCTTGATTGGCATTCTAAAACATGTACATTATGAAAGTACATTAGACCCTCTATCGTTCTAGTTGGATTTGCAATGAAGAAGCAATTATCTATTTTGTTTGACTATTGCAACTTTGATTGCCATATTTTGTGGGACGTCAAAGAACGCTGGCACTTCCTAAGGTACCCGCAAGTAATTTGTACAGCAGCTAAGCCAACACTCCGATAACTTTTAATTTGCACAACTTGATGGCAACTGAGCCCCAGTGGAAACTCACACAGCTGCCATGCCTGAGGCAGCGGCACTGTCAACTAATGCATATTGCATTAACCGACTTAAGCGCACAGCGAGCAGCGAGAATTTCTCTTAAAATTGACTGTCTTTAGTTTTAACTTTGTGATGGGCGACACGGGCGGGGATGGAGCCGTTGCTTGTTTGAGTTGCATTCGACTTGCAGCGCTGAGCAGCAGAGCTTAACTCGAGCTGCTGTGTGGACAGCGAGCGTATGAAAAACGCAGAGACCATCAACAAAGTTTGCTGTTAATTTAGGGTAAGTGTTGAATAAGTTTCCCAGCGAGTTTTAAATAAACTGGCCTAATGAGTTTTTATACCCTGAACCCATCGAATTGGGTTAACATAGAGCATGATTGTTACTAGAGTAAAATTACTGAAAATTCTTATTTACGTCCAAGTCTGGATAGCTTGACCAACAGCTGGCATCGACGTTTAGGGTATCTTTTAGTTGAGCATTTTCCAGTAGCTCAGCTGGGGCGGAAAGTAAATAGAAATAATGCTTAAGTAGTTTGCGTTTGCAGCAGACGCGTCTTCAGATCAACACAAAGGACAAACCACAAAAGCAATGTAAGCCAGCAAATTGTTGAGCCTTTGTCGAGTGCGATTCGCACAATGGACCACATGAGCGTTGAGAGAGAGAGAGGGAGAGAGAGAGAAGAAATGATACTCGGCTACACTGTAGACAGTGGTAGCATAAACAGAGAGCAGCTCGAGCAGTCACATACTTAATACAGATTACAGTTGAGTGCATTTTCAAAAGTCAGCACTCGACACAATATAAATTCAAAAGCCAAAAGCAGCCCGCCCGGACACAATTTCAATAAGCAATGGCACAGCTGGGGGTCGAGAGCCGGGTCAGTTGGTCACACAAATGGAAACGTCATGGCTGAGGCTCACATATACAAAATGCCAACTTTGCAATTTGCAATTTAACTTGAGGGACCACAAGCTGAAGTAAACACAGCCTCACTTGTCCCAGCCGCCCTTCAAGTAAACAACTCCACACACCTAAAGTGTTGATTTTGAACGCACTTAAGCTAGGGGGAGCGCCTGAAAAAGAAAATTTCAAGCATTTTAGGCAAAGATTGTCCCCTGAATTTCGCATTTGACATAACGTGCACAGCCCTTCGCCAGGTCTCACATGGCGTATGCGTAATATTTGATTTGTTTCCCTTACTAGTTAGTTATTAAGCTGTCACATGTGCGCACAGCTCAGACATTATCATTTGATTTACGCAAAGGCTACAGCTAAAGTTAAAGCAGAGGGCAATATTTCCAAAAACAAATTTCATTGGAAAGGAAAAGCAATCTCCGCTAGTCAGAGATGATTTAAAATGTAAAATCTTTAAGAGTTTAGTTTTTGATAAATCCCCTACTCAGTTGCCAAATTGATGTTTATTACTAGAAAGTAATTTTAGATACCAGAATATTACAGTTATTAATAATAATTTTGTCTATTTTTAATAACCCGATTCTCCGCTTTAATAAATGGGAAGTGTGATTTGTCTAATTGTTTACCTATTGACTCCTATGGAGTCAATTTAATTATGTAATATGTATTACTCATAATCATCGCCTTTCATCATATTCGTAGTTAGTTTAGTTATTTTCCATTAATGTATTTATAATCTCAATAATAAAAATATGTATATATTTTAAAATTATATTAAAATATTAAATTGCTAAATGCGGAACATCTTAGGGCAAATTAATAATAGAATGTGCACAATTTCGTAATATGATAGAGAGAGAGTAAGATAGAGATTACTTCATCTCTCAGTTGAATTTAATGTCGAAATTGAACAACCGTGAGTTGTATGGATCATATTTCAATATTCCACGTCGATTCAGCTAATTTAATTTAAGCTGCGTTGGCTATGTCAGGTAGCAAACTCGGAAACACATATATTGAAACATCAACTGACTTCAGGTCCGATGCACAATTGTATCGCTACAGCTTCGGGCGCATTGCTTTGTGTACCTTTGTCAAATTTACTTATTAAATGCCAGCTACAGCAAGCACAAGGCAATCCGCATGAGTTGAGTGGGGTGAGTTGTGATCGATTTTGAAATACCCTGCGGGAAAATTATTTCAACTAAAATGACGAATAAATAGATTGCATACAAATTTGTGACTTGACAATGCCTGCAGCAAGGGTTAGTAACTCCCGCTATCTATGGCAATGTAAATTCAATTTAGATGTTTTAGATTTAGGTGGGCTGCTTCCGCCTCCGGGCACAAGGTTTCACATGCCAGACATGCCTTGAATATAATTCGCTGATTTCTTTTTGCGCCTGAGAGCGGATGACAAGCCCAGCATTCTGCTTAATGTTCAACGCTGTCTGACTGATTGTCAGAGATAACCCGTACGACCGTTTGGCATTCTGCTTGCCACTGACAATTACAAAAGACGGCTGTTACCCAGCAGATGTCATGGTTGAGTCAGTTGTTACTTACCCCCCAGTATGCCATTCAGATACGTCGAACCATTTAGGCCGCGTCCCTTCTTCATCATCAATTGCTCGTCGATAAGCAGCAGGCGCGACGAGGAGGACGATGAGGAGCCGGATGAAGACGATGATGTTGCTGTGCCTGCTGAGAGACCAAATGGATCTGGCTTAACGGGTCCCTCGTACAATTCCATATCGTCGTGATTGCGAAACAGATTGTGCCGGGCTATCACATCCTCCATGCCAGCACGATGTAGTTCGGGTATCAGTCGCAGCCAAATCGAGAGTTGGTGAGCCCGAAAGTGATTCTTAATGCGCGGCTTCATGCCTTCAAGATGGCCACGATACGAGGGCACCAAAATAGAAGAGCAAACGGGAAACAAAAGCGTTAATATACACATTTTTATTTCTATGTCATGGGCGGCATTCATGCATACAAATTCCAACCGGTGTTAACTACGTCGCCTACACCACCACCCCCCACATCCCCTCGTCGACCGGCAACTGTTGCTGTTTTGTTTGTTATTGAGGGGCACTTTCAAGACATTTGCATGCTACTAGCTGAGCTGAGCCACTTCGCAATTGAGGACACCTCTCATCCGCATTCACCTGCTTGTCTAGTTGGATGTCTTGTTTATTTAACTGACTGAGCTGCTTAATTTTTGATGCCGTCAGTTGGGTCACACGCTGGCGTTTGCTTGGGCCCGTCTTAGCCTCTTCGCTTTTCGATTTTGTTTTCATGTTGCCTCCTCTACGGCTTCCGTGTCAGTTTGTTTATAAAGCAATCAAATGATATGAAATACTTACGGGGCGTTGCCTATTTACAGGGCTGAGCTCTTTGATAAAACTACTTAAAAGTCGCATTGACTACGAGATGAAATATAACATTTTAAGAGACTCTCAATGTATCTGCGCTTGGCCTTTAATTTATATTTTATTTAAGCCGCATTAATATTCAATGGCCACAGCAAAACATAAGTGCGAGGATGAATAAATAAATATATGTATGTTATATATCATTTAAATGTATTGAAAGGATATTCGTGCCACTTTGCATATAAAAAAGAAGAGGATAAGAAGCATACGAAATCTGTGCAAACGATTCGCTCCACTGCAATTGACATGTCGTCTATAGAAGTCGCTGAATAAATATGGATGATGCATAATTTACGCAACAGAACTTTCAACTTTGACTTCAATGGAATGTGTGTGTGTGTGTGTGTGTGTGAGTGTGTAGGTGTATGCGCGTGTGCCAACAATTTGTGCGCGTGCAGCTGTTCGCTGTGTATTCACATAATTCGATTTCGATTTCAGGTTTTCAGCATTTCAAATCAAAATTCACAATAATGCGTGGTCTTTGACAAACCTCGTGCAACTACATCCTTTGTGCGTATTGTATGTAACAATGCCAGAACGTTCAAAACAAATTCCAGCAAAACACCCTTGAGCGTGGGCGTGCGGTGGGCGTAGGTGGGCGATATGGGTGAGATGGCTTGAGATGCCGTGTCTGGTCTTGCGTTTTCAATTAAAATCAAACAGAAATCGAGTTATATTTTTAAGGGCGCAGCGGGGCGTGTGCGTGCATGTATTTGCCAACTACACTTAGGTGGATTTCTGTGACATGGATGTGGACTAGATATGAAGTAAAATACACGTGTGGGTCTCTGCAACTGATTTCCATACACATTTTATCGAAGCCTTATGAAAGAAGGAACTTCTTTATTCTCTTTTCCGGCAGATACACAGATACCATCTGGATAAAGGGCTTTCAAATTTCATTAGAATTGCTGTGAAATTTTGCTGTATAAAATTTGAATGGCTGTCTGTCTGGGCTGTTCCTGATGATAGACACCCACAACGTGTGACAAATGTGAAGTTAATAACATTTGCGCACATTTAATATGACGCGATGGCAACATTCTTAAGGGCACAGACAGCTTTATATGCCCGACATTGTCGGATACCCTACCAAAGGAAATAGCGGGCATATCAGCAGTGCAGAAAATCTAGTTTCATGAAGTTTATTAGGAAAATCAAAATAATATTGCAAATATTTTATAAATTTGAATTTAGTAATATTTTTAAATGTCAAATTTATCTAAATTGAATACAGTAGAGTTTATTTATTTTTTTTTTATTTACACAGAAATTTAAATTATCGAAAATTGTTGAGAACGAATTCCTTTCAGGGGTAACTTTTTTCGATTTATCACAATTTTTGATTTAGCTGGGTTCGAATTATCGAGACTCGACTATATACATAATTTTCTAATACATGTAGAGCACATTTCAGTCGACTTGCATTGCCCGTTGCTCTCATTTGCTGTGATTGCAGGTGCCCTGCTTGTGTTGTCTTCAGCAGGTAACATTCAACTGCCACTCAGATATGGCCTTGTTTAGCCGTACATTGTACGCCGTGCACCATACGCCGTCTCGCACAATTGTAATGCTGATTTTTTGCGCTGCCACTTGACACCACTTCCACCATCCACTTCGCAGTAGACCCGCCCGCCGCCCGCCGCCCACCGCCTGTTCGCCTGTATGAGCTTTATTTTTTGGCTGCTTTAAAATTTAAATTAAATTTGATACGCGCTTGCGAAACGAACATTTTAAAGTATCAATTTGTCGCTTTTATCTGGCCATTCCAAGAATTCCATGTTACTGTGTTAATAATTTTTTATGACACTCATACATTGCGTGCCATTTGCGTCAATTTTATACCCTATCAGCATAAGGCAGCCGTAAAGGGCATATGGACTAATTTGAAAATGCAAGCAATAGCCTTTCTGTTTATCGTCAATGTCAAATTTGTGATTATTTAAGGATATTTGATATGGGTGTATGGGTATGGGTATATGGGTATAGGATCTGTGATTGCTATCTATTCATATTTAATTAAAGATTCAAAATTACTTTAGCCCCCAGCATAGTTTTTCACAAATATTAATACCATTACTATACAATATTA